AGGATGAGACTGGCACCACCCTAAGGAATTCGCAGTATTTGCTTGCTGGCTTGGGAAGTTTGGATTCAGTCTGGCAAGATTCTATCTTGAAGGTGAAAGCTAATAAAGGCTATAGAACTAAATCTGTACTGCCTCGTGGAGTTCCTTGGGCTGAACCTGACAACTGTCCATCTTTGTTGCTGTTGGCTTTATTTTAAAAACAAACAAACAAAAAACAAAACCCACTCCCTGGGCTTGTGCTTCCCCGCCTTTGCCGTGGGCAGCTAGGCAGGCCTAACTGCTCTTCCCTCTGCTTCCTGCAATACAGACGTCTCCATCCTGAGCTCTTCCCAAAATTGTCCAGGACATCGCCTCGTACCATCTTGGCTCAGCCCTGTCAGTTAGAAAGCCAAGAACGGTGTACAGTACTGTGAAGCCTCTTCTCCCATTTGCTTCAGAGAGCAATACTTGTAAGAAATAATCGGTAACCAACATAACGGTGGCATATAAAATCTCTGAGAGTTTTGCAGTCAGCAGACTGACCTTGAATCAAGAGCCATGATAAATAGCCTTTCAGTACTCTCGCAGCACCCATGGGGATTTTCAACTACAAAGGAAGCCATTCCTGACCTTTATTGTGCTACAGTTATTTATTCATTGGAAAAAAACAGCTGTCACAGAAAAAACAGGCCATTTAATATGTATTTATTTATTTATTAAATGTATACGCCCCCCATCTCCCCCAGAGGATGACTCTGGGCGGCTCACAATTAAAATAAAACCCCAAATCACTTAAAAATATAAATATCCACATTTTGATTTAGTTAAAAAGTCAAACTATATGAAAAATATGTATTAATATGTATTTGAGCCAGAAATTTGCATCCTGTAAAGTATATTTCCCCTCTTCCTTCTTTGCAGAGTTACGGTGCTGAGGACAATCGGACCCTTGGAATTCCTGGAGAAGACCTTGAAGGCGTCTACACAGCGAGAGCATTTGTAGGATGGTACAATGGCTTGCCAGAGAACAGAGATGTAAGAAGAATTCTGCCTCTCTAAGGTTCAAGCATCCAGTGGAGAGACCTGCAGTTGGAAAAGAACACACAGATATCAAATTAAATCCAGATAGGTTTAGAACTGCGACCCTATTTGCACATCCTCGAGAGGGGATTATCCCTCTCTTTCATCTGCCGTGAGAAGGCTAGAAGAGAAGCTCTGGGGGTTGAGAAAAAAAGAAAAAAACAGATACTCGTAGGAGTGTTTGCTATCAGGTGTGGAACATGGGCACAGCAGTCTTTGTGACGGACATGGGTGTTTTCCCTCCCCTTATGCCAACCAACTTCATTTGTGAATGGTCATAATTGTAAAAATAATTGACACTGCTTTGTATTTTTGAGCATTCAGTGCTCTTCAGATAGGCAGTCACTGGCATGGCACACTAAGCTGGGTTATAGTTTTAGAAATTAGTGGGAAGGGGAGTATGTATTTCCTGTATTAAGCAGTGCATCCAGCATACTTTTTCCTGTGAAGAAGTGATAAATACGAAGAGAACGTAGCCTTGTCCGAAGGGGCCCCGAACAATCCCTCCAAGTATAACTTTTCCTTGTCTTACAATGCTCTTTCGCTGAAAGGAGTCTTTTAAATTTATGAATGTTTCCTATGTGTTCTGTGTGACTGGGCCTGTTTGTGCATCTTAAAGGATATGGAAGAGCTCCCACAGTATCAAGCCAATCCTGAAATTATAAGGAAGAAATGGATGAAGGACTGGGAATGAGGCCAGACTAGCGTGAGTTGAAGGGCTTGTGGTGAAACATCTCTCTGTCGTTTTAGCTGAAACCAGACTTGAACAGTGAGACAGCTGTCATCCTAGGTCATGGGAACGTGGCGCTGGACGTTGCACGGATTCTCTTGTCACCTCTTGAAGTTCTTCGGGTAAGTTGCGAATGAGCCCTAGAGTGCTGGATGTTGCTGGGGTGCCAAACAGTGAGGTTTGCTCTCGACCTGCCAGAAAATACCCTTTCAGTTCATGATGAAGGGCTGTGGGTAGGACCCCTGATTAAAAGAGCTGTCTGACCTCAGCCATCCTGGAATCTCGGATTTCAGGTAAGCAGTCGTCCACCAGCTTTACCGGAGGGGGAAGGGGTACATCCTGCATCTGCTACTGCGGGAATGGGGTTTGCTGCGTGTGAAGCATTCTTCCAAAGTTGTCTAGGAGAAGACTTGACAAAATAGATCCAGTTTGCCTCATGTTCTGCTGCCTTCACTACTTTCCCTGCTTTTCCTCAACCTTTTCTATTCTTTTGCCTTAAGGTGGTGGAGCAGTTTTTGCTTCTCTTTCTCCCTCTGATGCTAGAACCCTTGGGAGCAGTGAACGGTTCTGGGCTTTCAGAAGTGCCAGCGTGAACTTCCAAGAGTCTTATCCCTTCAAGTGGGGGGGGGGCAAAACTGCAGACCTAAGGCCAGATCAAGCCTCCACCTTTGACTTTTACTCCCTGGTAATAGGGGAGGGTGCTGTTTCTTAGGCTCTGGAGGCAGAAAACACATGGAAATTATTGCCTAAGCCCTAAATTAGGATCAATGCAATTTTTAAAAATGAAGAATCCCCTAACCCCCCATTCCCCCATGCCAACACCTCTGGGGCAGAGGGAAATAAAAAGAATTTCGATCTCTCCCACATTTCCCACATGCATGGTTGTCTAACCCTCTGGAGCCCTTGCCCTTCCTGGTTAAGCATGACCCTCTGATGCCCATCCCAGCCTTATAAAACTAAAGAAGACTTCTTAAAAACAAACCCTCCCAAATTTTGGGGAGTTTGGGAACCCTATGTATGTCTTCATGGGTCAATGTGGGACTAGAGCTTTGCTTTTTTTCTCACCTAAGCCCTGAGGTTGGGGTGCGGGGGTGGGGAACTCAAAAGAACTCTTGATAGCTTCCTTTTCATTTTGGAGCCAATTCCTGTACCAAAACTAAACACAACAGACACTAAACATAAGGGGCAATCTCAGTAGTTCATTCATGGAAAGCAGTTTGAAAAAAAGGAGCTGGAGCCTATAGTTTTTATCCACTCACTCAACAGCAATCTTTCCATTGCCATCTGTCTGGACCAGTGTTTCT